GGGAGCAGGACAGAGAACTGTTAAGCCTGGTGTTGCTGGAACTTTACCTGGGAAATGAGTCATCATCTTAGTCTGTTTTATGTTTCCATAACAAGATGATCACCCATGGGTACTTTACAAAGTAGAGATTTATTTAGCTCATGGTTCTAGAGATTCAAGACATGGTGCTGTTGTGTGTTTGGTTTTGGTTAGAGCCTTGTGCAAGCATACACAGAGAGGTCGCATGGCAAGAGAGGAAGCAACAGAAATTTGAGGGAGGCACCAGACACACTTGTAACCTCCCAAAGAAAGTGCTGGAAGAGAGCTGATGTACTCCAAAGGGAAAGCGCTGACCTAAGCTCTGGTGCGAAGGTAGAGCCCTGCGACCCGACTGTCTTCCAAGAGGTCTCATTCATAAAGGTTCCACCATCTCTTAACATCATCACACTAGGAATGCAGCTTCCAGCCCATGAGCTGGATTTGGGAGTCAAATCATATTCCGAACATAGTACACATGAAAATCAAAAACACAGGAAACACAGGCAGAAGACCAGATAATTGGCCTTTGTCAGTATGTAAAAGTTTTGTGCATCAATGGGCAATACTAACAGAGTAAAATTCAACCGAAGAATTGGAGAAAATATTTGTGAATCATGTATGCCATAGGGTTGATATCCAATCATATAATATGTGGATACCACCATGTCACCCTCCCTTCCCCTAAGTGTGACTGTGTTCCCTGGTGAGCAGTACTGGCTGTATATCGGTGACTTCCCTCAGGGAGATTTCAATTTAAGTCCTGAATCTGGCCAAGGCCGTGTCATGAAAGTAGGCTGGTGTCAAACCAGTATTGTTCATCACTGGCCGCCATGGCTGAGGTCAGATAGATGTGTCTTAACACTGGGGGGCTAAGATGTGAGATGTCATCTCTGCTGAAGCCTGCATTACTACAGAGGAAAATTCCCTCCCAGAGTCTGCTACAAAACAAGGTACTCGTTAGCCATAACCTAAATCTAACTGCTCCGTCCCTTTCACGAGATCGCTTTGTTCCCTCTGTTACAAGCCTCGCCACCCTAGCCCCCCTTGTCTAGCTATTTCCCCAGTTCGAATGTGATCAGTAAATACCACGGTTCCGGCTGCCTTGTAGCCTTTTGTTCCCTGAGAACAACTGGACACCCCAGATGCTGGTTACTGTGCATTCTGCCTCTTTTTCTTTTCCCTCTAGCTGTGTACTGTAATACCTTGCAGGAGACTGGGGGCCACTGCAGGAGTCTCCAACAACTGGCACCATGGACGGGGTCGCTAATCACAATGACCTCCCACAACTCAACATCAACGAAGTTTAAAAGTTCAAGAATTTGGATGAACATTTCCCCAGCAATATACGTGAACTGCCAATAAGCATATGAAAAGATGTCCAACACCGTTAATCACTAGGGAAAGTCCACCAAAATGACAGTGATTTCCCATTTCACACATGGTGGGTTGACTAGTAACAGCAACAAAACACACACCCATGGACCTAAAAAGAGAAAATAGTAAGAAAGGGCCAGGATGTGAAGATGGAACCCTGGCGAGCTGCTAGGGAAAGTGACATGGGGAAGGTGCTGTGGGAAACAGCACAGTGGTTCCTCAGAATTCAAGCGTGGAATGACTGCGTGGTTCATCAGTTCCACTTCAGAGCATGTGCCCCAAAGAAGCGCTCAAAGAGGGATTCACACATCAGTGCTTATGGCAGGTTTATTTACAATAGTCAGAAAGTAGAACCCCCAGGTGTCCATCAGAAGATGCACAAAAGATGGTGTGTACATATAGTGGAATATTATTCAGACTTGAAAGTGAATGAAATTGTTTTGTTTATTTGTTTGTTTTTGTGGTTCTTGGAATTAAACCTAAGGCCTATGCATACAAGGCAAGAATTCTACCACTGAACCATATCCCCAGTCCATGGAATTCTGATATATCTGCAAAGATAAACCTTGGAAACATTATGCTAAGTGAAATAATGTTGGTGGGGTGGGGAGGGCAAAAAAAAAAGAAATAATGTCAACACTAAAACAACAAACAGTATATGACTACACTTCTATGAGTTACCTCCAATAGTAAAAATCCCAGAGAGAGAGAGCAGAATAATCGTTATTCAAAGGCTAGAGGGGGAAGGCAATTAGGTATTGTCCGCTGTAGTCAGAATTTCAGTTTGGGATAATACAAATTTTGGCAATGGATCATGGTCATGGTTACACAACAATTTAATAATAAAAATTTAAACTATAAATAAATGCAGCATTATTAGAGTTGTAGAAGCTACCAAAATTTCATATTATTTCCTGTAGAAAATAAAAGAATGTAGTAAGTTTAAAGCATGTTAAGATGTAGATTATCACTGTGATTCAGGGGTAAAATAACATCAAAATTTAGAAATATTTGAAAAAAGGCTATATGACACCCAGAAATTTTTAATGGAATTTAGTTTAAAAGAATGTTTAAAAGAAGATTATCTACAACTAAGCCAAAGTTGGCAAACTCAAAAAATAATTATGGAGAACCTAATCAGAATATAACAGAAAGAAATATAGAGATGAAAAATGAAAAAACAGTAAGGGTTTAGGAGGAAGCAGAGTAAGAAGGTCCAGCCTACTTCTGGTGAGAATTTCAGGATGGGATGTTGGAGTGCATGTGGAAAGAAATATTGAAGTGGATAATTCAGAGACTTGTATAGAACTTAAGAAAAGCATAAAGTCTAAGACTAAAAATCCTTTAAAATAATTCCTCTGGAATTATTGTCAGAGGACGTCAGAGGAATGTCAGAGGACGACAAATCCAAACACATACCTACAGATTTTGAAGCAAGTCTTCAAAATACCAAAGTCGAAGGAAAGTTCTTAAAAGCAACCAGAGAGAGGAGGAGACTTCCCATGAGAGGCATCCACAGGCAGTGGAACCTTACAGTGCTCCGAGAAAATACTGTGAAGCTAGAATTGCGTATACTGCACACTGGGGCTGTCTGGAGCCAGACACAAGAGGGCGAGGGGATGGTAAACAGTGAGGCAGTGGGGACTGGAGAGTGGACAAACCCTGAACTTGCTCCTACAAGCTCCCAGGGCCATGGGCAACTATAATACCGTCTTCCTACTACCCGAGGCCAGAGGACGGGCTGACCAACAAAGCCAACAAATATGACCAAGAGATTAAAAGCAAAGACTTATTACTCACAGCACGTAAAGACAGTGCTAGAGATAATTCTCAAAGTGGGGTCCCCTTGAACAAAAAAAGGAGGGTCTGTTATTGGAAGCACTTATACACATTCATGTAGGTGAGGCTCATCGCTGCATGCAAAGGTCAGCACATCTCTGAGCACGCTCAGGCAGAGGTCATAGGGTCCTTGGGGTGGGGGACAGATTTAAACCCTTCTGCTTGGAGAATGTATTATTAAATGATCAAATCCCTTGTAGATCACTAAAAAGAATGAATCAAGGTGATTCCAAGTCTTTAGCTAGTTTCTTGTGTGTTTCTCTCAGAACTTTACTTAAGAGAGAAGAGGACAGGATGAGAGAGAGAGAGAGAGAGAGAGAGAGAGAGAGAGAGAGAGAGAGAGAGAGAGAGAAATAAAGCTAGATTTTTGCTCGATAAGTAAAGGAGATTGCTCCCAAAATGCCTCTTTAGCAGCTAACATTCCTAGTTTAAATATTTTTTGGTAACAATTAGTTTGCCTAAAACTTAGATGCAGTTTTTCTGCAAGCATTTCTTTGGATCTGAGATTCTGGAATCTTCTCTGCAGAGTTAGAGAGTTTACCCCATCATGCAGAAGCATCTGCTAAGACAATTCTGGGGTCTTGTGAAATATATATATCACATTCCTGCTACAGGAAAGCTCCCTCTACATTTCGTATTTCTCTCTTTTTGGTGTCCAGTATACCTTTCCAGGTATTTTCCTGATTGACCCACGCAGGTAACACAGGGAGGGCAGAGAAATCCCCAGGTGCTTCCCAGACTAAGCGACAGGAACAGGAGTGCCCACTACCCACTGCATGTAAAGACCACAAACATCAGCTGGATGGAGGCTGAGCCAGGAGCGCCAACCCCACTCCACTCAATGCTACAACGTTGCCCTGCTCTCTTCCCTGTCCCATCTGGAGTGCAGAGAAAAGACCACTGGGGACAGAATGGGGAGGAAGAATGTCACACCCATTAGCCTTCCTTCCTGTCCCCTTCCTGTTCAAGCAGCAGGTCTACTGGGGTGGGGGACGGGGCAAACTCTGAGGACTGCAGTTTTTTAAAGGAACAGGATTGGCCTTAGGCACCGAATGGGAGCCTCTTAGCAGCCAGTTATAGAATTTAGAGTCTGGTCCTGATGTGAAAGGACCCATGATCTAGTAAGGAAATGGTAGGTTAACAACACGGAGTTAAAAGCAGTGATCAGAGGGAAAAAGCCATTTCCTGTTTATGTTCAGAGTGGTTTAAATCCTAGATAAATACAGCATTCATAAACAACTGGTGATTATTTGCATCTGTGGATACAGTTTCACCACCAAGATAGAATTACGCAGTCAAAAGTTGGCTTTTACAAGTAAGTGAATGTGAGGGCGGAGTGGCACCATTTGTGGAAGAACAGAAGAGAGACCCGGAAGTTTCTAGGCTATTCTCGAGGGGAGAGGGCAGACCAGACAGACATAAACAAGGGGCCCATCTTCCCTCACAAATTCCGAAACTTCACAGGGGAAGAAAGAAGCTACCAGAGTCTGACACAGATCATTTCGTGCAAAAACAACCAAAACAAACCTGATATCCATTTGCCAGAATGAAAAAAGAAAAGAACCTCTACCTAACCTGACCAGTGTAGAGACACAGAAGGACAGAAACCAGCAGGGTCAGCAGCAAAGCCTCCTGACCAGTGCCTTGGGCTCAGCTCCACTTGTGTTTGGCTGCACTGAGATTCCTTGCTAAAAACCCACAGTGAGCAAATCATTAAAAGGAATAAAACAGGTTAAATTATTAAAAGAAATAAAACCCAAAGCACCTAATTCCACATGTGAATTTTATTTTCTCTTTCAGGCCATCAAGAAGTGTACATCAGAGCATTTAAAAAATTCCCAGGCACACAAGACCTGGGGTCTCGGGACAATCAAATGCCATTGGCCTATCTGGGGGGGTGGATATTTTTTTCTCTGGCAAGCTCCTGATATTTCCCATTTGTCAAGCAGTGAATCACACTGTGAACAGCACAAGTTGGGACCACCAGAATCTTTCTACAGAAGTTAGAAGTGAAAACAAAAATCAGCCTTTCCCCTAGCTCCCACCCCCAAAAAGGAAAGAAACTTCATTTGTTCATTCAGTGAATACATACTAACACCCCACAGGAGGCTGGGCACAAGACATAGTCCCAACTCAGATATTATGGTTCAAAAAACCTATGGCATCTTCACCCCACCACCACCACCTGCTCTGATGGCGCCTCATGATGTAGCTGTCGTTATCCAACAGTCATTAGCATACCACCTTGCTGCCTGCTGTATCAAAAATCTGGCAGTCGTGTGATAAATATTCTTTCCTTGTAAGATAGAGTTTTTATGCCTCTCTTCCTGTTCAGCTTATGAACTCCTCAACCAGATCTGAGGTCTCTCGGTACCCTAAACCTTATATACGGCAAGACATAGGAACGACATGTTGACCTGATACTGTTTTATAGATGCGGGTAGAAGGTGCAGAACCCCTGAGTCAAGATGAGGGGCCACTTGTAACTCAGAAACCGGTCTCAAGACACAGATTCTTGGGCAGTGCCCTCCCTCCGCATGTGTGCTGGGCAGGTCCCAGGAGCAGACTACTGAGCTAAGGAACCTGTGGAAGGCGGTACCTGATAAGAGGTTCTCGGGGACAGTGCAATGCTGGCCACTTATTCTTCTGCCTTTGTCAGCCTCCCTGGCCATGAAGTGAGCAGTTTACACCATATTTTTCTGCCGTGATGTATTCCCTCGCCATGGGGCTAAAGGAATAAGGCCAATAAACCATGGACTGAAACCTCCAAAACCACAAGCCAAACTAAACCCTTTCTCTCTCTCTCTCTTTTTTTTTTTTTTTTTTTTTTTTGTCTTTTTCGTTTTTATCGGTACCAGGGATCAAACTCACGACTGCCTGCTTGCAAGGCAAGTGCTTATGCCGCTGAGCTAAATCCCCAGCCCCCCAAACCCTTTCTCTTTATAAATTGATTATACCTGGCGTTTGTTATAGTGATAGAAAATCGATGAACGAAGGGCTTCCATTTTTCCATTGCTGGGGTAAAATAAATGTTGAAACTAAGTTGTTCTAAATTTCTTTGCACTTCTAACTTCTCTCCTGAGTTGGGGATGGGGACTGTCAGTACTTTGAGGCTCAAGCTTTCCTGACAGTGGGCTGCAGACTCGAGAAGGTAAGGAGAGCACACATCTCACACAGGGGAGGCCGTTCCCATGTGACATACGTAAACAAAGCGGAAGCCCATCTTCCTGAGAAAAATTTTTTTCCTGTTTAATCAGCATTGTGGGAAATGTGACGATAGTTCTTCCTGGAACAGAAGGCACTGGAGAGGGGATGATGGGAGAGGACAGCAGGAAGAGAAGAAGGAGGGCTGCATAGCTGCTGTGGCAAAGGCGCGTGCAGGTGCAGGGCCAGGAGGGCTTCTGGGGGCAATTCCTGTCATCCCCACGGGCCCTGGGCTGCACTGACAGGAGCAGTCAGGAACCTGGCAGGGTCTTCAGCAGCTCAGAGGTTGATGACAGTTAAGGTGTCCTCCTTGGAAGCGGAAGGGGACTCTGGATTCTCCCCCAGAAGTTTCTGGTCTGACCCTTCCTCATCCTGTAAAAAACAAGGAAGAGCAGCCAATGGGACAGAGAGAATGAGGGTGCAGCGAGCCATATAGTACCTGAAACCAGGGGAGGAAAGAGGGAAAGCAAAAAAGCCCAGAAATAGGGATCCAGCCAAACAGGCAAGGTGACAAAGAAAGGGGACTTGGACAAGTGTCTGGACAGAGAGGAGGAGACGGCGGGAAGTTAGAGGACAGGAAATGTGGAGAGACACAAAGCAGTACACGCTATGGAGCCGCACACCCCAGACGGTAGAGGGGACAGAGGGGTGGGCCTGGCTTCCGGTAAGGTGGATCCGGGCTCCAGGGCTCCTCCCAGCTCCCACACTCCTCCACCCACACCTCCAGACCCTCCCATTTGCCTCTGGACACCTCACCAGGGGCTGGGAACTCTGGCCACTCATACTTCGAAGACACCATCTCAGGGAAGCCAAAGACACAATAACGTTCAGGATACAGACCACTGTGAGCAGGATACAGAATCCCAAGAAGAGTTTCTGGGGATAAAAGAAGAAAAAAAATACAGTCAGGCGTCAGTTCCTCTGATTTGGCTCAGGCCGTGCACGCTTATTTTGGGTAATAAACCGATACCAGGCCAGCGCAGGGCAGGCCAGAACTGGCCTGGAAGCTTCCATCTCTTACCTGTTCAAATGCTCACGGTGCCCCCACCTTGTTGCTATGCCAGTAAAGCCCTGGGCCTCTTGGAGAGACTATTGCAATTTGAGAAATGCCTGCCATTTAAATTAAAATCGCCTAAAGGAAGATCTAGGACAGGCGAGGTCCAAGTGCAAGGAGCCTACTTCTCTTCCCTCCCATGTCCCACTTTCTTGGGAACAACGGGCTGTGAAGGGTGCCAGGAAGACTGGATTCTTCTCTCTTACCAGGGTCATTTTCATAAAGTTTCTGCAATTCTCTGTCCTCCATTCGTACGAAGTGGTTGTGGCCACAGGGTCTAAATTATCACACACAGAGTTGAACTTGGAGTAGTTTAGATCGTTGTTTTGCCAGATGATGCTCCTCACAGAAAAGACAACTGCAGCCACAGCGGCAGCGATGCCAGCCAGAGTGAGCAGACCAGACACACAGCCCTAGGAGAGAGAGGTCCAAGACGCAGGTTCATCAGTGGCAGGGCCACATGGGTGCCACCCTCAACTGTCTCTTCTTCCCCAGTTTCTATGGCTAGAAACACTTGCAACCTTCCAGGAATGACCTGAGGATATTGGGGGTCCTCGGGCACAAGACAGAAGATGGAGGGGAAATTCTAATCCCAGAAAGTGTTGAAAGACAAGGTCAGGGGGCTGGGGATTTAGCCCAGCAGCGTAAGCGCCTGCCTGGCAAGCCTGAGGTCCTGAGTTCAATCCCCAGAACTGCAAAAAAAGAAAGACAAGGTTAGGGAGAGACAACAGCCAAGACTCACTAAAAGTTTCCCCCGGCATCTCTCATGGACAGCGGCCCCTGTTCCTGCTGCGATTGCCTGGAAAGAGAAGACACCAAAACTGTCCTCTGGTTTGCTCTCCTGATTGACCTCTCACCACCCTTCCACCCAGAGCTCCTGTAGGACTGAATCCAGAGGCAAGACTCAAAAGATCAGCAAAGAAGCGACACATATGGATGAACCCCCAGTTACACTGTCCCGTCTTCCCCTGCCTTGTGACAGAAGAAATGGGAGACAGTTTGTCCCAGCCCCAGGAAAAGTGGGGCAGGCAGCCTCTGGGTTTTCGGTGGCTTCCCCTAAGCATCTATTTGGAGTCTCTTTGCCCATCGTCACCTGCCCGCCTCCCATTGAGTGCCCAGCCCTTCCCTACTCACCACAGATCCTGCCCAGAATGCACAGCCCAAAACACGCAGCTCAGTCCTGGGCCCAAAGGAGAGACTGACCCCAAGAGTGCAGCTCACGACCCCCAGCACTATCTGCATCACCTGCAAGACAGGGTGAAAATCAATAGCCCAGCTCCCACCCCTGTGGCATTTCCCCTGCCCTGGCCTTCCTGCAGTTCAGATTCCAGAAGGTTCTGTGTCCTTACTACCTTCAAGCTGCACTGGTCTGATTCTCCCTTTACCCTTCTTACAGGCTTGGCTGTTTATCCTTTGCTCTTTTTTTCAAAAGAAACTCTATGATGATCCCACCAGGTAATTCCTATTTTTTCTCTTCACCCTCCCTTAGGAATCATCATTTTGTCCAAATCTGGCGTCTACCCTCAGTTTCCGGTTCTGATATATCTCTTCAGGTTCAGGTGTGTAGTTTTGAGGGCTCTGTCATAGACCCAAAGATGTGCCATTGGCATCCCCAACCCGCTCCCAGCAAGGAGGACCTTGTGTTTCAGCTGAGAAAAGATGTGATGGTCCCCAAGTCAGTGACTGAGCAGGACTGTGGCTGAGTCACAGCCTGCCACCGTGGAACTGTGGTAACGGACAGTCTACCAGAGGCCCCCAACCTTAGCCTGCCCCCTCTTGTCTCGTATTGCATGTATTGCCCCTCAATAAACCATTTGTACCTCTATCTTGGACTCAGTGTCTGCCTCCTGGAAAACCCTACTCACACAGGCTCCTGGATGTCCTCTGAGACTTGTCATCATTAAATCCCCTTTCCAATCCTCCAGGGCTCGCATCTCCTGATTATCCACACCCCAAACCTCTGTGCAGTCTTAGGTTTGTCTCTTCTCTTACACCCCAAGCCCGTTCACTCCTGAACCATGGAGCCACTATCCACAAAGGATTTTAATGCCGCTTTTCCTCCACCGTTTCATCTCTGTCTACACAAATGCAGACCATTCGTATTTCCTACCCCGAGGCCTCCAGCTCTGAGGCAGCTGGAGCCCAGGTCCCTGCTCAGAATCCATGAACGGCCACCTGCCACAGATGCTGAGGCAGGACGTTCTCCTCCAAGGCTTCTTCTCAGTCCTCAGCACATTCTCTCCTGTAACAAACTTGCTGAAGCTCTCCTGCCTCTCTGCCGTTCCTCCCCCTTGCTGTGTCTTTCCTTTTGTAACCTACAGTTTCTTTTCTTTTGTCCCCAACCACTGTCTGCCTGAATCCACTCCATCAACAGGGTCCATCTCAAGCACCAGCTCCTGCCTACCGGGATGTCAGGTGCAAGTCTTGCTGACCCAGCCTGAAGTCCACTCATTCCGTGTCACCCTTTCAGGTGGAAATGGAGCACTTTTCAGGGGAATAAGACCGGGAGGGCCTAGCATGTTGCTTTGCACCAGCAGCCTCAGTCTCCATGGGCTCAGCCAAACCCTTCAGTTTCTAGAGATTCTTCTCCCTGCTCCCAGTTTGCCTGGCACTGCACCCTCTGCACCAAGGAAGAGGTTGCCCAGTCCTTTCCACCCAAGTTCTGCAGGCAAAGTTCCAAAACTTTCTTACATGTGATGTCCCTTCTCGCAGAGATTCAACTTACTTTTCTTTGTGGGTCCTATTGAAAAGGCAGAATTGTTGGAAAACCCAAGCACCTTGAAACCACAATGTCAAGTGATGTAAATTAGACCCCTAAGCTTAAGTATCAATTTTATGGTTTCTTTTATATGAGAAACCCAAAGTATAAGTGAATTAAGGAGCAAAATAAAAGATGCTAGGAAAAGGGAGGTAGATCTTTTGCAAATGGGCAGAGGACCAAGCAGTGAAGGGGTTGGAGGGAGAGAAGCGGGAAGGGCCATAAAAAGAATTAAAATCTGTTATGTACTTGCACCAGCTCCATGATGAACGTACTCAGCATGAGCTAGTAAAGTATTAAATTGTTTAAAATGTCTTTGAAGTGAAAAGAAGGGTCCGCCCCTCTGTGTCACCTCATTAACTGCCCCCAACCACCTTCTTACTGCGAGAGCTAGTTGTTCCTTGCTCGTCCTGGCCTTGGAAGGTCCAGTGTCTCCAGGTTGAGAAAGAAACCTCTTCAGGGAACCCGCTGCCTTCAGCAGCTGCGACAGCACGGATTCCTGGTGGATATGGATGCTGATGTGAGTGGGCTGGGATGAGGTGGAGGCCACCCTGACTCCATTCACAGTCACCATGTTTTGGGCCATCTTGCCTGCAGGGGAGATGATAGGCGGAGTTACTGAAGTCTGAGAGCAGGTAATGTGACAAAGGGGAGCATGGCATGCCTTCCCAACGTGATACGATACAGTTTGTCTGGGCTCCAGAGTGGAGCAAAGAAAGGAATCTGAATTATCTTAATGCAAATACACACACACACATCTGCTGTCCACCAAAAAATGTATATATCAGGGAAAGAAAAACCTGTATAAATATATTAACACTAAATTATCGAGACATCAATACAAGTTACCTTTGGTTTCTGCAGTTACAAGAGGTGCTCAAAGTGGTGACCATCAGCTTCCAGACATTTATTAGTATGGCAAACTCTGAAGTTTATATACATTTTTTAGTGGATCTGTATAAGAACCACACAAAACTTTCTCACTAGTAAAACTGTTCAAAAGATTTTAAAGAGACACCAATATGATCAGTTTCTTACATATCTTCCAATGACATTTTTGCACACAAAAGATTTCTTCTCCATCTTCTTTGCCACAAATGGTAGCATACTACCCATGCTGGACAAAGTCCTTCATAATGCTGTGGTCACAGAACCATGTTTTAAGAATTAACCCTGCTGTAGTCCATAAAAACCTTCTTGAGTCATTTGTATAACTATATTTTTCCAGCATGTGAACCTACCGTCATTTATTTAACTGGTCCCTCTTAACAGACATTTAACCAATTTAAATGTTATGCAATAAAATACTGTTTGAAATGCGTATCTCAATAAGTTTTGACAAATTTATAACAGTATGCAACTACAGTTACAATCAAGATACAAAATATTTCTCTGTTGTAAACATTCCCCAAAGAACTTACCACAGTAAATCCCCAAATGGGTATTATTGATCTTCCAGCTCTAACTAGGTCAGCATAGTTTCAATCAGTATTTCAATTATTATGAGTAGTTCCATAGTTTCAATTAGGACGAAAGAAGTTGATCGCCTTTTCACACGTGAAAAGCCGTTTTTATTTATTTTAAGTTCTTGTTTCATATTCTGTGTCCTTCCTGTTCTATTTTTTTTTGCCTTACAGAAGTGCTTTGTACAGTCAAAAATTACCATTTATATGAGTTCTGAATATTTTTTACAACTTTGATTTATATTTTGACTTTGCTTGTGTTTTTGTACAGTTTTTACTCTAAAAAGTAGAGCTTATGTTTAGAAAAGCTCTCTCTTGTTTTATGCTGGGAAGATTTTATTTTCCACTTTAAAAGGACTTGCCCCCTTCTAGGTCAGAGTAATTCATCTGTGTTTTCTTCTGTGTGGCTTCACGCTTTCTGTGCTCATTTTTAATGCCGATCCCTCTGGAATTCCTGTCATAATCCAAAAGACATAGATCCAAGTTGCTGCTGCTGTTCAGAGTGAATTTCTGCAGGATCGCTTCCACTGGTGACATACGTCTTCTTTCACTGATTTCAGATGCTCTCCTGAGCAAACAGGAAGCTCCCACTGGAATTTTTGTCCTCCAGTCTTCATATCCTGCCAGTTGGTCTGTCTGTAATGAGCTACGCCTCAACACTACAATTTTAGTTAGTGTAGAATCTAATATCTAATTGGACTGCTTCTTGACTTTCTTGTATCTTACTTTTCAGAATTGTTATGGCCATTTTTGCTAGATTACTTCTCCATGTACACTTGAAAATCAACTTACCTGGCTCCAACAGACATCCCAGAGATGACAATAATGTGCCTTCTGCCTAAGTATCACCGTTCAAATCCAGTACTGACAGCCACCCTGATAGAATTTCTCCTTTACCCTCCTTTCAGAGTTGTCTCACTCTTTCACCTACCTGGCCTCCTCTGAGTTCAAAGGTCAGGCTTTTGACAAGTCTGCAGGAGGTTCAGATTCAGGGGGCTCAGCAAAGGAACTCCCACCTTAGATTCCCGATCTTCCCTTGGGTCCTAGGAGCCATCTGAAAAGTGTGGTCCTCTGGTGTACTTTGGACCCAGGCTCTCCCAGATCACTTAGGTGACACCACCTCCTCGTCCCCCATCCCACCTGTTGTGCTTTCTAAGGGCAGGATCTGAAGCCAAGAGCAGACCTTCCTGGCCTCCCCTCTACTCCAAGCTCGGTGGTGAGCTCGGTTCTGCGGTCTTGGACACTTTGCTTTGACTCTCTTCCCAGTGTTGGACTTGGAGAAAGAGCACTCCTGCTGTCCACAAGCCATAGCCATGCTACCTCAGGGCTCTGTCCCAAAGGAGCCCCATCCATCGCCACCCAGAGTGGGGGCTTGGGAAGCCAGGATAGTCCTTCCCCCAGCCCCACCCCCACTTCCAGGTTTACAGGTTTCCTCTAACATGCATACTCATACCAACCTCTCTGAAAAGGACACTGAGCCAACGTTATCTCCTTCCTAGAAACTGGTGTCAGCTGTCTTCTCAGTACCTACTCTAGTCCTTCCCTGGAGTCCTACAGGACAGCAGAACAGAGGAAGAAGGACATCTTACACACAGAGGGGCGTAGGGTTCAAGAGACAGGTGTAGGGTCCACAGCCAGAGAGACTCCTGGGAAGGGCCTGCCTGGGTGATGGGGCTCTGCCTCACCTGCTGTCCTCCAGGAGCCAGAGCAGAGCAGAACTGGGAGGCGCTGATTTGGAGCAGAGGATAGCAGCCTGGAGGGAGGAGATCAGAAAAAAAGGGATAGTGAGAAGAGGGTGAGGCCTGGCCTTACCATTTCCCAGCAAGCAGCTAGGAGCAAGGGGCCCTGTTAGGGGGGTTCCATTGTGAGCAGATGATCAGGCTGGCTTGTGAATGCACACACACACACACACACACACACACACACACACACACCTACTCAGATAATACACACTGGAACCACATGCACTCACAACACAGACCCACATTTGCTAAGAAAGTCCTGGCCGGGTGACTGTGTACCTGACACCCCACAGTCCACCCCTTCCTCTTTCTGGCTCCCCAGTGCCCAGAAGTCCCCCTGTGACTGGAAAGCCCTAAAAGAACCCTTCTGTTTACTGGGAAGGGTGAAAGTCTGGTCAGCCCTCAACATCCCTTCCCTCTGGCTTTCAGCTTCTTCTGACCAAGCTGCTCCTCCTGCCAGTACCTCTACACTCCTCTCTGCTGTGCTCAGCTCCCTGCTCTCAGAGAAGAAGGTGAGGCAGCCTCTTTCCTGGGGAGACCCCTGCCCCTCACAGTCACCAATGGAAGCTCAAATGGTAGCCAGGGGGTTGTGAGAAGCAGTCAGGTTCTGGGGTCACAGGGCTCTAGAGACAAGAGACAAGAATACCCAGAGTCAGTGATGGGGGTGGAGAAGTGACATGTGTGGGCACTGCTCCAGCCAGACACCAGGGTCTGAGAGCACCAAGAGGGCACAAAGCAGACTTGGGGTGATGGGGGAGCCCCAGCGGAGATGGGCTGCCCTGCATCACTCAGGAGGAAGCAGCTCTGTGACCAGGAGCAGCCACTCTACGTCTCTGAGCCCCATGGCTCCTGAACTCCCAATTCTGATGAACCCAAGGAAATCTGCCTGCCCTGCCTCCCTAATCTTCCCTGTGTTCCCCAGACAGACATTGATGGACGCAGGGACAGGAGACAGCAACGAAGTGGCCCCTGAGGGCCCACAGCCCACCCACATCAATGTGCACATCCACAAGGAGTCAGCACTGGCCAAGATCCTGCTGACCGGATGCTCCCTGCTGCGGCTCCCAGCCTCAGCTACCAGTGCCACCAGCCGGCTGCTGGTGGCTTCCTGGGTGAGGGGGCTGCTTGCCTTGTAGAGCCAGGGAGGGACACCCCATTCCTCACCTCAGGCCATGGAAAGGCTCCTCTTTTTCTGGCCACATGCTCTCCCCCAACCTCTCCAAATAGCGTGCTCTCTGTCTGTCTGTCTGTCTGTCTGTCTGTCTGTCTCTCTCTCTCTCTCTCTCTCTCTCTCTCTGTTCTAGCCAGTATACCCAAAGTGCAGCAGGTTCTCCAAGCCACCCTAACATCTCAGGGCAGGGGACAGGGAGCTTTCTCTATGCCCAGGCATCAGGTCAGTCCTTAGCTCCTGTATCTTTCAGGTGGTACAGATCATGCTGGGACTCCTAAGCGGGGTCCTGGGAGGATTCCTCTACATCTTCCAGTGCCGCACCCTGTGCACCTCAGGTGCCGCCCTCTGGACTGGGGTCGTGGTGAGTATGGCAGATGACTGTCACCTTCCTGTCAGAGGGGACAGGAATGTTGCCCTCAGTGTTGCCTGGACATCACAACCATCAGTGTGGTGCCACAGAATGTTAGTAGCCAAGAAAATGCTAATGATGTAGGCCATGTCTTTGCTCATATAGTTAAGAGAACAGCCTAGAAGAGTGGCATGCCCAAAGTCATAGGGTCAGCTTTCTGGTCCCCTGCCTAGGGTTCCCTCCCACCCTGGGATGGCTACCAGTACCCACCATCAACAGCACCTAAGGGTCTGAGGATCCATTCACCACCAGACGCTGCCCCAGGGATGGGATGGGGGTATGTGGGAAGATAATGTGCCAGAGAAGAAATGTCACCTCCCAGTTTTCCACCCTTGTCCCCTGCATAACAGTGGGAGTAGAGGTGAGTACAGATGAATACATGAAAACCTGTTCATGGTGGGACTGGGGAACCGTGGGATACTCTCCACTATCTCAGAACAGCAAAATATGCATGTATTGAAAAAAGAGACAAAAGGAGCCCTCCTCATCCATCCCCCAGCAGAGACACGTGGATCACTTACAGAACACCCAACAAGATTCCGACCCATCTGCTCAGTTGGATGCCCCAGACTTCCTGCTGGCCTGATGGAAACAGAGCTGTTAGGACAGATATCTGGACCTGACACTGCCCAAAGACTCATCTTGTACTGAGAAGTTCTCCAACAACCTGGGATTTCCACAAGATCCACCACACCTCCCCAATCCCTACAACTTTCATGAAGCACTCAGTATTGCTTTAAAAAGTTTTGGAGACGGGAGGGCGAGCTCACACCTAGATGAACCACAGTTACTTTTAGATGCCACTATACTAGCATCCTGCAGTCTCAGGGGTATGATCCAAGCTCAGCACTCTCCACAGTTATTTTACCACAAACAACAAAGCACAAAACCCAGGACATACCTGGAGTGTGCTGGGGAGAGTCGCCCTAATGGCTGGCAAGGGATCACTCGGGAAAGAGAGGCAGGTGATTGGAGGCGACTTGAGGTTCCACTGACCCTGCTCTTGTCTCTGTCTCCCTCCAGGCTGTGCTGGCTGGAGCTGCTGCCTTTGTGTACAATAAACGAGGTGGGATCTGTTGGGTAAGTTCTGAGAAGGCGAGGGAAGAAATCAGGCTCACATGTTAGGGGGTCACACATGGGTCCTACCAGGCACTGCCCTCTTTGCCCAAACCCAGACTCTGGAAAAGGTAGAGTCACTAAGGTCTCCCTCCACTGCCTCCCCTCCAGGCCCTGTTGAAGATTCTTCTCACATTGGCAGCTTTCTGCACAGCCGTTGCAGCCATCAAGATTGGAGCTGGTAGCTTCCATGAGTACCGCTATGATATGGGCAGTGATTACAACTGTAAAGACTCGTACTGGCCCACCGTGCCTCCCAGCACCTCACGTCCTGAACTTGAGAGGCTGCACCTATGCATCTCCCAGATGAATATGCTGAAGGTCAGTGGGCAGGGGAGAGGGTGGGGCAACCGGTTAAAGAGGGGTGGGGACAGATAAGAGGAAAGATCGCCATCAAAACAGGTGCCCCTTGCACTCACCCAGCCTGACGAATGTCACTAAAGCTGCAGCTCTGAGCATGGCAGAAACAGCTCCTGCAGTGGAGATGTTAGAGATGAGAGGGAAAGACAAACACTGAAATCCTCACTGTCAATGTGCCAAGATTGCCCAAGTGGCACCAACCTGTTAAATGGTGCCCTTCCTCGATCCTCTCCAGTCTAGGGAGCCATTAAGGAATCAAATCAAACTTTCTCTGCAGATGAGTACAGGGTGCTATATTCTGCACACTGAGCACAGTGATGCCCCTCCAGAAGCCACAGCCTTAGGGATGAAGGGTGGACAGAGTTCTGTGTCAGTGAAGAGCATGGGAAAGGGCACAAAAGTGACCATTACTCTGGTGCCCATGACCTTCGCCTTTGTCCCCAGAACCTGATTGTAAGCCTTCAGTCCATGCTCCTGGGTGTGTGGGTCCTGTTGCTTCTGGCATCGCTAGCCCCTCTGTGTCTGTACTGCTGGAGAAGATTTTCCATTAAAAAGGTGAGCCCTTGTGTGTTTGGGGTCCCAAGTCATGCCAGTCTTTCTACCGAAGCCCAGACAGACACTGGTCCCAACCAAGGGACCCCAGCCAAAGATTGCAGGGAGCCAGGGGGATCCACATCTGTACTTAGCTTTCAGGGTCAGTATATCAAGTATCACGTAGTTGGTGTATTATCTGGCTACTTAGCTGCCTTAGAGGAGAGAATCTGCTCTCTCTCTCTCTCTCTCTCTCTCTCTCTCTCTCTCTCTCTCTCTCTCTCTCTCTCTCCCCACCCCATTCGGGGTTGTCTTGCCCTGCCCTTCCTTTAGAAAAGAGAGCAACCAAAAGAAGCCACTGGGAAGGAGCCGGTACTAGCCTTGCCTCTGCTGGGCACTCACACCTGAAGCTCCTTCTGCTTTGAATGCCTCTGCATCTGCCTCCTTGAAGAACCAGATCAGGACAAGAGACCTCCAGTGGCTGTAGCTGTTTTTCCCTAAGGACCACTGCCTGCTCCATCTGACCTTGCTTATCTCTTGCTTGCCTTCATCCTCCTTCATGGCCCTTCTTGTGTGACAATTTGACAATAAATGTTTATGTGATTGGCCCCAGGTTTTTGCTTCATTATTCAAATGCAAGGAATTTGTCTGACAGAGGAGGCAGTGGATCATGAGCCAACAGCAGACCTAACATGATCCCTGCCATGGCTCCAAATGCCTACCAGGAGCTGGAATTGCTGACCCCAAAACCAGACCCCTTCAAAGCTGGTCTGTGGCTTCAGGTCCAAAATCCTGGTACAAATTACAAAGGGCCTGGGACTCAGCCATGCTCCCTACCCATCAGATTAAAGAAAGTGAAAGTATAGACTTTCATTTTGACTGTTTGGCAATGTTAAGACATAGACAACAAAATGCCAAGAAGCCAGGGATTTAGCTCAGTGGCATAAGCACCTGCCTGGCAAGTGCTAGGTCATGAGTTCAATTCCCAGTATCCCTCCACAAAACAAAAACAAAAAAAACCCACAAAGATGCAATCATTTTTAAAAATCATAGGTCACAAGTTCAAGCCCAGGTTGGGCAATTTACCAAGATCCTGGCTCAGAGTAAAAAGGGGCTAGATATATAACTCTTTGGGAAGGCCTTGGGTTCAATTCCTAGTACCAACAATAATTTTACTAGAAAAGTACCAGAGGGAGAGAGAGCATATTCATTCCATCCAAAGTGGACTTCAAGACAAACAAAATACCAGGAATAAACAGAGTCATTACATTGTGATTAAAATTTTTATTTATCAAAATGCAACAATACTAAGTATATACGCATTTAACAACAGAACTTCAAAATACATGAAGCAAAGATGCACAGAACTGAAAGGAAAAACCATGAAATTTATAGTTATAGTAGAAGACACTTAGGGATTCTCCTCTCAGCAACACACAACTTAAGTACTTAGGAATTAACAAGAACACAAAAGAATTGAGCCATATCATCAGATCTAATTGTTCATAATACTCTCAATAATCCCAAAATCATATTCTTTTCAACACTCATTGAACATTCACCAAAACAGACCACATGTTGAGACCATAAAACAAATCTTGACAAATTTAAAATTGAATTTATACAGAATGTACTTTCTAACTATAATGAAATCGACTTATAAATCAATAAACAGAAAGATAATGGGGGGGAAGTTTTTCAAATACTTGGAAGTTAAACAATATTCTCCTAAATAATTCATGGATCAAAGAAGTCTCAAGAAAATTAGAAAAGACCTTGAATAAAACAAAAATGAAAATTCTATCCTTGAAAATTGACAGATAAAACTAAAGAAATACTTTGAAGGACATTATATAGTATTAAATGCCTGTATAAAAGAAGAAAGTTCTCAAATTAACCATTTCAAATTTCACTTCTGAAAATAGGAAAATGAGGAGCAAAATGAGCTCAAAGTCACCAAGAACAACAAAGCAGATAAGAGAAATAGATTAAATAGAGAATGAATACATGGGGCTGGGGATTTAGCTCAGCGGCATAAGCGCCTGCCTTGAAAGCAGGCAGTCGTGAGTTCGATCCCCGGTACCGATAAAAAGGAAAAAGACAAAAAAAAAAAAAAATAGAAAATGAATACAGATGTTATACATGCCTGTAGTCCCAGCTCCTTAAGAGACAGAAACAAAAAGCTTGCTTTGAGACTAACCTAAGGAACACGGCAAGACTCTAGTTTAAGGAAACAAGACAAAACAAATAGAAACTGGAAAACATAGGAGAGAGAAATCAATGGAGCCAGAAGTTAGTGTATTAAAAAAAAGTCAAAATTAATAAACTTCCAGCAAAGAGGAAGAACACACATCACCAACAACAGAATGAAATACAGAAATCACAAGTCCTATAGACATTAAAAGGATACTAAAGAAATATTACTAGCAACTCAAGGTAAAATTCCAACTACTACTAACTCAGAAGATATAACTGATTTAAATATAAAGCATATATATATATATATATATATATATATATATATATAAAGTTTGTAGAAGAAAACATAGGGGAATATCTTCATGACATATGGTTAAGGCAAATAATTCCTAGATGTGACATTAAAAACATAATTCACAAAAGAAAAAAATTAATAAATTTGACTTCCTCAAAATTAAAACTTTTGGCCTGCCAAAAATTGTACAAGTACAAGATAAGTACCTCTAGAAAAAAAATTTGCAAATCATGTATCTACCAAAAGACTTGTATTCAGAATATGTGAAGAACTCTCAGAAATCAATAGAGAGAAAACATAAAACCAGCTTTTTAAAATGAGCAAAAGACTTAAACACTTAGCAAAGAGCATATAGAGAGAGTGTCTTAGTCATTTTTCTCATCAGTGAGACAAAATATCCGACACCCGAAACTTAAAAGAAAAAAGAGGAGTGTAGATTTGGCTCATGTTTTAGACTATAGTTGGCTGGCTCTGAGGCTTAATGGCAAAGCACACTGGCATGATGGAAGGAAATCTGAATCACTACAGCAGCCAGGAAACAGAGAGTCAAAGGAGGAGTTGAAATGGTAAATAAATCTTTCTGGACCATGACCTCAATGATCTGTCTTCCCTAGCCACACTAAGCCAGCTATACCACTCCCATAATTTAATCACCTTCCAAACACAAGAGGGCTTGTGGGCCCTTTTAGATCTAAACCACAACATTTTACTCCTGGCTCCCAAAAGACTTGTGCACATCTCTTTATACAAAACGCATTTAGTCCATCTCTAAGAGTTTCTAAAGTCCTAACAATGTCAGCATTGCCGGAAAGTCTAAGTCTAAAGCTTCCTCTGACACTTAAGGCAAACATATATCTGTGAGCCCCTCTTAAAATAAAAAAGAAAGTTAAATGTATACAGTGGTGGAGGATAAACATTCCCATTCTAAAAGGAAGAAATAGGGGGGACCTAAGCAATATCAAAATCCACCTGGGAAAACATTAAATCCCACAGTTCCATGTCCATTACCAAGATAAGTTGTGATGAGATGTGAACTCCAAAGGGCTTGGGTCACTCTCACAGCATTGCCGGTAGGTGTAGCTCTCGTGACTTCTCTCTTAGGCCGGCTTTGCTCACTTTTTGCAGCTTTCCTCAAGCTTTCCATGTTCCTGGCTTCTCCCACTTCTTCACTGCACTTTCAGCTTTACTTTTACAGTTCTACACACTACCTTTCAGGGGCACACTATTTGGCTTCCTAAACCTTTTGAATTCTGGGTAAAAGCCTCTGTGACCCCACAAATCATGCTTCTGTATGCCAGTAAAACCAGCACCATGTAGATGACAGCAAAGTCCACTGACAACTTGAGCAGTAGCCAGGCTCCCTTGTATCATGGCCACAGACTATCAAAATGCCTAGATGGCTGAGCACTATGAACTGAGCTGCATGGAACCTAGGACCCAATTCCCCAGGTAGACATTCTTGACACAGGGCCCTGGGGTCTAGCTTCTCAATGCAAAGTCTTTCAATTTTGCAATTTTAAACCTATAGGACCTTGGTGGTTTCTTGCACGCATCCGTAAGGCATCCTTCTTATTGTCCTGACATAAAATACTTGATTTCTTTTTCATCTTTTTAAAAAAAACAAGCTCTCCTCTGCTCCAAGTTTACAGGCCCTGACTTTTTTTTTATCATTTTAAGACAGGGCCTCACTATGCAGTTCAGGCTGGCCTTGAGCTCACTTTGTAGCCCAGGCTGGTCTCAAACTTGCAACAGTCCTCCTAACTCAGCCTCCCAAATGCTAGGATTACAGGTGTTCACCACTACATCCAATTTACAGGCCCTGACTTTATAGAAGCTTCCTTTATGGCAAAACTCAAAACTTTTAAAATAACCAATCTATACCATATGTTCCTTATTCTCAACAGAGATGGGGCAATAATAAAAGCTCCCAATAATATATTCTTGCCATGGCCTCAACATTTGGGCTGTCTTGAAATTTCCTCTCCCAGATTAGTCTTCCACCCTTAATCTCAGTCTCCCATAAAGTCTTGTGACATGAGCAAAATGTAGACCAACTTTCCACCGGAGTATAACACACATAGCCTGGGTCCAGCTACCAATGAAGTTCTTATTACGGACTGAAGTCTCCTAATCCTTGTCTTTACCATCTGCATTTCTGTCCACATTCTGGTGTTCTTATCTCCAACCAGAATCCAGCTCAGCTTGCAACATTCTAGGGCTGCTTCTCCAGCCATCACTTCCAAATCTTTCTAAACTTCTCCCTCAAACTAGTTCCAAAGGATTTTGAACCACAAGGTCAGGTGACATCACAGATGATCCCACTTCACTGGCACCAAAATCGGTTTTAATCACTGTCTTTGTTGCTGAGATACAATATCAAACACTGGCAACCCAGAGGAAGAAAGATTTATTTTGGCTCACAGTCTGAGAGGTTTTAGCCCATAGTAGCTAGACCCAAGGCAGGATGGCATTCACAGAAGCATGGCAGAGGAATAGCCCACTGACTTCATGGCACCCAGGAAGCAGAGTGAAGGGGGGAGGTGGATAGGGAGATAAACCCTGCCAGGTCAGACCCACAGTGGCCACCTCTTTTGACCTGATTCTGCCTAACAGTGATTGAGCCTCAATGCTCTCAGTCCAACACCTTTCAAAAGTCCTGACTATGACCACATGGGTCTTTGGGGGGACATCTAGGCATAAACCATAATAGATAGCAAATAAATACATGAAAAGATGTTTAGAGTCATTAGGTGCTAGGTAAATACAAATCAAAACTACGGTCAGTGCAGGTCAAATAGAAAACACAGACAATACCAGAAATCGGTGGAAAAGCAAAGTGACACACAACCAAATTGAAAAATGATCAGGCTACTTCTTATAAATTTGAATCCACACATACATTCAGCTATCCTATCTTTAGGTATTTATACTAAAAATTAAAACTCATGTGAATGCTGATCGTTCAGAGACGAGGGATTGACCCTTCTCTTTATAATTACCAGATACTAGAAATAACTCAAAATATCCTTCTATGAATGGATGAACAAACTGTAAGAACACCTGTACTCTAGCATGCTATTAGCAATAAGAATAAACTACACTCAACAATGTAAATGAA